GAACACAAACTGCTGACATGTCCCCCACGAACTTTAGTGGGGAGCTACGTTTGTAAGAAGATTTATTTGGCGACACAGTTAATAAAGTGCTATTTGACCCTTGGGCTCACAATGAACAATATTTATCGAATCATAGAGTATCACCCAGTAGCCTGTTTTGACAAATTTGGGGCGACTGTTTCTAACGATAGACGACATGCAGATAGCGACCCTTCCTACAGTATTAATGACGAGAATATGAAACTGTTAGAAAACTCTGCTTACGGCAAGATGTTGACGAATAAAGTGAAACATTCTGACATGTCCAAGTAACGACCCCTCCAAACTAATCAACGACTCTCCTCTTCCCAAAAAAAAAAAAAAAAAGATGACGCAACTTTCTGACAGTAGAACTGATGAAAAATGAAACTTTATGGGATCTTCCTCTGCAGATAGGCTTTTTCGTTTACCAATATGCCGTTCAGTTTATGAGTACAATTTCTACGGAGATCCCTGAGGATCGTCAACGGAACTACGGAGGTCGTGCTATGTGTGACGTTCTCGGCAGGCATCTAGATGTTCTGTGGAGAGAGATTAAGCCATAAGTGATAAAACCGGTGCAGTGAAGTCGATCCTCTCACCTTTACTCTGACTGAAAACAGGACATCCCAAGCATCTAAGCTGTATAAATCTGTTTCAAAATTTGGAGTTGAAATTCTACACAAAGTATTGCATGATCCTCGTCGATGCTACGGCGCTCGTGCACTGCACTGAGATTCTTCGGACTCAGGCTTGTTTTAAAAGTAGAACGGAGCACTTATGGGCTACCACCCATGTGCCATGATGTTGATCTGCTGTATAAACCAGTTAAAGTAATGTTATTGTTAGTTGCGTATCCTTTACAGGACGTTGCAGAACCAACCCCAGCATTTTGTGGCTGTTGTGGTTTTTCTGGGCGAATTTACGTCAAGTGGTTTGTCATTGCTCCCTGGACGGTCGGCTTCTCGATACCACTGTAGAAACCAACGTAAGGCGCAAGACCTGAAGCTGGGATCGAAGCCGGCACCCCGGGATTACGAAGCGCGTTCCAACGCCTAAGCCACAGACGCTAACTGAGTGTCTATGCACAATCTTTCTCAGTACGTTAGATATCTTTGATGTAGTTGCTTTGGGATACTTTGAGGGATAACATGCATCAAGCATTACTTCCCAATTTGGTCCCGACACTCCGATAAGAAGGGTCAATGGCAGCGGACAGTTGAACTTTTCTTGCACGCAACATATTTTCCGGTAGGAGATCTGAACATTGTCACACCACGGCCAGCTCCAGATTTATATACAGCCGGACGTGGTCACACATAAGGACTCGATGGTCGGACATTTGGGCCAACGCAGCCATTCAGTAGGACTTTCGGTCAAAAGTTGTTTGAACCTAGGATTGTCAAATACTATAATAGGATAGGACAGGATATTCGCCCGGTGGACTTCACTCATTTTCTGAAAGAGTTTTTATGGACGTTATCAATCATGCATTGGGGATGGGTTGATAAGTACCAGAGGATTCTGAAACTGCATTTCGGGGGCTGCAAACCCCGAGATCCCATGTCAGCTCGGTTAAGGCCAATATAGGCCCTTATCTGAAAAAAATATTTATAGGTTTGCCCTGGTATAAAACGTTCAATAAAAGGTGTACAAAGATATACTTCTAGTTCGGTGTCAGAAATTATGTTTGCTGTACCAGTACCTGGTTTGCTTTAGCACATCTGTGTTGATTCAGTCCTAATTCTACTTAGCTTACAATGTTACCTTTTTTAACATGAATTCTATAATCTCCTCTATTTGTTTACCTAGTCATTTATACGTAATGTTACTATTCTGTACTCGTCTTTTTCTGGTATAAACGATTCGCAGTCACACCCGCCTCCTAAATTCTTCCTGTGCACACACTAACGTAACTATCGTCTGGAAAGATAGATCGGTTCCAACAAACAAGTGTTAAAACTCACAATCTATAACTAAAAAAATGCTGAATGAAGAATCGGGCTCTCCTTAAAACTACGGCCACTTATTATGGAGTACGCCGGAGTTCAGTCCCCTGGAGTGGACAAGAGGGAACGACACAAATGACGTACTTACTTTGTGTTGGCGATAGACAGCGTGAACCGATGAGGCAATTACTGTGTGTTGGCGATAGACGCACTGCTGTCATAACAGGGTTAGGGTATTGGTACTCTGTAAAACTACGGCCACTCCTACCCTACCCCTAACCCAAACCCTATTATGACAGCAGTGCATCTATCACCAACACACAATAATTACGTCATTTGTGTCATTCCCTCTTGTCCACTCCATAATTGCAATTGCAATGCGGCCAGGGGACTGAACTCCGGCGTACTCTATAATAAGTGGCCGTAGTTTTAAGGAGAACCAAGAATCGGCATCATAGCACTTGGGACACCCTCATAAGCATGCATAAGAAGAGTTCCAATTCTGATGGCACCAGTAACTGTCTGAACATTTATCCGTCTTGCCCTTCCCTTGAGCGCTGGCCAGATTCCCTGGTAACTACTCGCAGCGTCATTCTCTTCAGACCGTAATGATCTACTTGCCCCTCCGCACTGTTCACTAAAACTAGAACAAATTGTTGAACAAGACTAGTAGTCTTTGTTCCATGTGTGTAACAACCATGCTTTAAGTGCTGCAGGCCACATTTGGATTTTATCAGTACGATCTAAATCATGTTTACACGAAAGGCTGCGATCAAATGCCAAACCAATTTTTTCTTTCAACATGTATACCATTCAGAAAGAATGCTAGGCAGATTTTCCATTCTAATGTTATTCTTTTAAGAGCACCAAAAAACAATGGCCTTTTTAGGGATCATCCTTGAATCTTTCTATTTGCAACAATCCATCTCCCCCAAATATTTTGTTTATGTCTCTAGACATTTTGTGCTTGTCTTCTTTGTCTTATCAGTCACCAGCTGTAAACTCTAATCAAAATTTAGGTTGTTCATCCAGTTCTGGAATTTTGTCTTCTTTCAGAACTTGAGTTGTGCGTGTAAATACATTTGACAGAACTGGCTTAATTGGGTGCTGAAAGTTGGTTCCCCGCCTCTCAGGCAGATGCAAGGAAACATCCTTAGTCAGTCACACTGCATGACATGATTGTGGGGGAAGTAGAGGGTCTATGAGGTGAAAAGTTATTTTTTTTTCCTCTCTAGTACAATAAAAAACAATAAGTACTGCAATGACTGGCATTGGTAGATGCCTCAGTTCTATAGCCATATGTCTCATAGTTACTCAGAAGATCAATGATCTGTAAACCAGAAGTAAGATGAATACTGTGCAGACCTGACAAGGAGAACTTACTAGGGACCTAAGAAAAGGTTCTTTTTATCAGAAATTCCTTTTATCTGGATAAGAGTTCGAACAAGAAAAAATAGCCAGGGATAACTAAACTGTTCTTCAAGAGAGAAATTCACCAATCCGCAGTTTGCAGTGTATACATTTTAGCAAATTTTAAAGCGGATGGTTTTATATGACAGTTAGTGACTCACAAATGACTGATGCAGCAGAAGGAAGAATCTGACTGCTGATTCTTTCTATGCCTGATGAAGTGTTCCAACAAACTGTGTGTGAGAAAGAACTGACACATGTACAGTTTTTATCAGCAAATGACGCCTCACAGCAGTGATAGCAAAGGCATTTTATTTTGCCAAGGAATATATATTAGAGGAAAATGTAACCACATGATAATAATGCAAATACATAGTTGCTAAAATATCTGTGTATGTACCATTTCATTCAAGTGAATTAATTGCAAAAATGTGCAATTTTCAGGTAATGGTGTCCGTTTTATGTTTTTTGGGGGGCACATCTCTTAACCTGGATTACTTCGTTGACACAGCCTGTAAACCATATGCTGCCAACAGAAGCAATCTGGCCTTTTCCAACCTCAATCAAGACAAAGCTTTATGGTATGGTACACAGGAAGATGTGGACTGCATGATAGCTTTCATCAAGGCTGCTGACCTCCTGATATCAGTTTTTGTGTGACCCTCAGTGAGGCAACACAATCCCATCTCATGACTCTAGAGAACAAACTTTCATGACAACAATCCCATAGCAGGCAGCAGACTTATTCTTACTTGTCTCAGTTAACACAGTAAACCAGGATAGTATCTGGTATAGTTGTTACCAATGCCCTAATTCTAGCTTCTCAGGAGGTAGAGCTATGTTGCTGTGGCATAAGGATGTGACTCTTCAGTGTCAAACCTTCAGGCAGCAGCACTAGGTGGTGTCAGCTTCCTTCAGACAAGACACAGCAAAACTATGATAATAGGCAGTGATAATTTTACTGTGCCCATAGGCAACCAATTTTTCATGATGCCAGACAAGCCTCATGACAGCGGGCAACAAATTTCTCACGAAACCAGAAAAACCCCATGACAATAGGCAAAGAAACCCCATGACACTGGACAAACTTCATCATATCAGACATATCTCATGGCACCGGACAAATCTCATGACACCAGACAAACCTCATCATATCAGACATATGTCATGGCACTGGACACATTTAAGGACACTGGACAAATCCCATGATACTAGACAAAACTCATGGTATCAGACATATCTCATGGCACTGGACACAACTCATGACACTAGACTAATCTCATGATATCAGATACAATACATGATGCCAGATGAACCTCATGACATCGGAGAAATGTTATGACATCAGATACAACTCGTGACACTGGACAAATCTCATGACATCAGACAAACCTCACAACATCAGACAAACATAATCACACCAGACAAACCTCATGACACCAGACATCTCATGACTACAGGCAACAAATTTCTTATGGCACTATACAAATCTCATGACAACAACCCCCTGACAACAACAATAACCTTAAAACAAAAGTTAGCAAACTCATATCAATTATTATTTGAGCTCTAATGCTCTGATCTCTTCTCTGTCACACAACAAGTGAGACATTGTGTAAACATTCACAGCTGATCCAAGAGATCATCAGTTGTCTCCTCTTCATGTGGTTTCAAACTGTCATCCTCCACCTTGACTTGCCCAGAAGCAAAAGTCTGTGCTTGTTCTATGGTGACCTCGCTGTCCTCACATTCTAGTTTAGTGATCAGACTTAGTTTTTCTGTTAATAAAAACAATTCATTAAAAGTGAATTATATATATATTAAAAAAAAAACAACTCGCCATACTTAAAAAAAAAAAAAAATTAATAGAAATTATTACAATCAAATTAATTAGTTAGTTAGTTAGTTAGTCTTTCCTCTTGTGTCGAGTGCGGCACATAGGGCAGAGGTCATGACTCTCCATGCATGGCGGTTCGTTGCAATCCGTTGTAGGTCTTGGATGTTTGAGTGGCCGAATATCCTATTATAAGACAAATCCTAGTTTCAATGTCTGGCGATCGAAAGTCCTTAGAAAGTGCTCCAATGCCCATCAGTCAAGTTCATTATGGCAATACCATCAAAGTCTGAGATGTACATCAGCCAGGTTTCAGAGTGTCGCAACTACATGTGCAGCCATCTCCTTGTGAACTGAGACTCAGCCCTAAGAGATTTTACTGCAGCTTAGATGAGCAACATCTCACACAGGCGGTGTCTTGCAGTTTGGCTGATCAGAGCATCATTTATCAGCTCTGCCTTTATGTAAGCCTCCTTGGATGAAGGGGGAGTGCCCATGGTCTATCCTTGCCTTCCCTTATGGACCGACAAGTCGACTCGCAGCTGCCATGGATGGGTTCTCCAGGGATAACATCTGTAGATTAGGGGCAAAGAAGACACTACTCAAGGCTACTCATATCCCACAAACTATGTGGGAGGGCTAGCCCAGTGCACAAATGCCCGATGAAGTCGGATGTGTCAGCCAAAAGGCGCTAATACTGCCGCCATGCTGTAAAGAGGTGAAACACAATTATGTCACTCAGAAGAATTTAAAGAAAACCTAACCTGCAAAGAACCTGATGACTGCACTAGCTCCCCCGCCCCCCCCCCTATATCACCCTAAAATGTAGTGAACTAGGTGCCTGGGACGAGTAAAGTAACTGGAGGAAGCTGCAGGAGATGCGGTAGCTGCCGCTTGTGAGTCCCAGCCATCTAGTTTAGTCCCAATTCGCGCCGCACGTAGCTTTGCGGGGGATACAGTCGGCGGTGAGGGCACACTCACAAAAGCAGGTCCGCAAGTAACGTATAGCCAAGACCCTGTTAGAGCATTTGTTTCGGAGCCGGCACATATATTTTAAATAGAACTGAGCCCCATTCGGATATTTTTGGATATTTTATGGTCAGAAATTGGCCAATTTAGCTCTCTTTCGAACGGCATCATATTACGGCCGCCATTTTATGGGGAAGTTCAAAGTAGAGCCGAATATGAAATCATATATTTAGCAAAAGGTTGAGATCAGTAATGTAATCATTAGGTGAACATCAGCTGTGAGCTGTATTATATCAGAAAGATTTCAGTCTATCATAGAACCAGATGATATATTATCATGCTGATATTTATCAGGTAATCAGATGGCGTTCAATAATAAGATCTTTCAGGAAATGAGGAAGATTCGAATCCTTTGATCTTTGAGAATCAAATCAGCTTCAATGTTGAAACTGGTTTATTCTTACCTTGTCAAAATTTCAGTGTAAGACCCGGTTTTATACTAACAATGAAGCTTGAAACAGTATAATATAAATAATTCCAGTTACTTACAAGTCTGTCGCTTGTCCATCGTCGTGAGATGATACAAGTCGCCTCAAGCTTGCGTGATTTGCTGTGGCGACGGTGGCCTTACTTCGACTAGAGGCATGAGCTGTGTTCCGCATTAGTAGTCCATGGCTCACACTTGCTAGCAAATGAGATCTGTTGCATATTTTCTTTGTCAGCTGAATGCTTGCACCTAACATCGTTATCCTGACTGTTTTTGTCTTGTTTATGAGTCTTTAGATTTAGTATAAGTTATACTTATATTATACTAATAACTATAAACTTGTATTCAAAAATTCTACCGACTGAACTACTACTACTTACTAATACTAACTACTAGTATACTAATATACTTGTCCTTTGAGGTTTTGATGCAAAATGAAATTCGTTGCAGCTAAATATTATGCTGATAGTTTCCACTTCAAGCCACACAAGTAGCTTTTCGCAAAATAGACGAAGAGTGGTTATATTCCTCCTACGCCGAAACGATAATCTGAGCTGGAATGTTACCTGTCTATTGTTCAATGAAATTTGGTTCTTCGGGTAACCTCCATGTTCTTGTGTAGTCTGCTGTTTTATGTCACGTGACTGAGTGTCGAAATCTCATTGGTGAGTATTAGTCAAGTCAGGTGTGACCACTGATAGACGCGGTTCATTGAATCTTCTACTAACAGACTCACTTATGATTCAGTTCAGCGATAGCTACAAGAACACTAGTATGTACTGGACAAAAGAGACATTCTGAAGACCATTTATGAACGAATGCTGACAAGTGACACGAGTTCAGATGAAATAACATGTCTAAGAAAGAGACGTATGAGAGGAAGGCAAAATTCTGTGCAGCATTGACACAGTCGGCGTTTGTGGCTTAGGCTTTGGAACGCGCTTCGTAATCCTGGGGTGACGGGTTCGATGCCAGCTGTGAGCCTTGCGCCTTGCGTTGGCTCCGACAGTGGTATCGAGGAGCCAATTGTCGAGATTTAATGGCAAACTACTGGACATAAATTTGTCTAGAAAAACCACAACAGCAAAAAAAAAAAAAAAAATGCTGGGGTTGGCTCTGCAATGTCCTGTAAAGGATACGCAACTAACTTTAATAGACTCATACCCAATTTAGCCAATTATTACCCCCCCCCCCCCTCAATCCCGTGTGGCTCCAACAAAGACCTACCCATTATTAGTCATATGTATCTTGGGATGTGGATGAGTTGAGGGTTAGTGTTACGAATTGTTGCGGAACGCATTTAATCATTACAGAATCATGGATTCAAGATTAGGGTGGTGGTGGTAGTAGTAGTAGGTATAGTAACAGCAGCAGTAGTAGTTGTAGTTTAAACAAAGAAAAAAGTGTTCAACCTATTCTAGTTATAACTGGAATATACAAAGTTAAAAAAAATTAAATGACTAATTTCTACACCGTTATACGTATTGGGCATATAGGGCTAGGCCTATATATTAGGGAGCTCAGTGGTCTCAAGGCATGGCGTCCGCTTCGAGTGCTTGGGGTCCCTGGTGAAGGCTGGGATTGCGCACGTAAAAAAAAAACTTTTGGCAGTTGGAAATTGAAAATAATAGCCTAACTGCGCTGCCCGGCACAATTTGTAGTTAAAAATCTATCCAAAGTGTTTAAAGATCCTCGCCGATTGTATGGACTTCGTGCATTGCGCTGAGATTCTTCATACTCAATAAGAAGAAACTCCACAGGGGAGCATGTACAGCAGAGGTCTACCAATCATCAGTAGAAGTAATCACTCGTCGACAAATGTTTCGGCCCACGAGCTCCTATACATTTTCAGTATTGATAGCGAGGCGCAGACGCCGTCTGGAGGTGACAGGTTTAATTCCCGGCACGGTAACTATAGCTTTCGATTTTTATGTTGTCTAGTGTGTTCTTCTATCTTTCTACTTCTTTCTATGAGTGCCGTTCACAATACTTTCTGTTACTTGATTAATTCACAATACTTTCTGTTACTTGATTAATTCATATACATTTTCAGAGAGTGGGCCCACCTGAGTTCATGAAGCTCAGGGTTGGTTTCCCCTGCTGCACGAATTACCGGATGTTATTAGGATAGGGACAAGACGAATTGGTGATTTTGCAGAAGGTACTGTGAGATAAGAAGTCATCGCGGTAGCATAATTGAAGCAGTCTGCATACCTGAACGACCGAGCGGCAAGCTTACGATTGGTATACCGGGCACATGTTGGACTTGTTAGCAGGTGGCAGAGGGACACTGGCAGACAATTCGGACTCGATGGACTTTCAAGGGACTTGAAATTAGAAGTAGAACGGAGCACTTATGGGCTACCACCATTGTGCCATGATGTTGATCCGTTGTTTAAACATTTTAAACTAATCGTCACTCGGTGGTTGATGAGTAGTGATTAGAAAGTTTACAAGTCGTATCCCCCCTCCCTTTCTTTCCCTCTTCAACCTTTGCTAAGGGTGGCTCAGATGATCTAAAACGGAAAAATTATTTGACCTCCTGGTATGAGTAAAAGGAACGTTAGTTTAGTTTTGTCCCCACTGAGGTTCGTGACACGTGTGGTTCGGGGTCAAAGTGAGGCCAGGGCTACCTAGTGGCTCTGGTCACGTGGGTCAGTTGTCAGCCGAGGTTCTTCTGGGGCCTTCCCTTTGTGGTGGGCACCTCTTGTAGCTCTCAGCTAGGTCATGCCCGCTCTTGTGGCCAAGTTCTTTCCCTCGGCGCATCACTTCTTGGGGTAAAGGTCCTATCACTGAGGAAATCATTTTAGCCACTGTCCTTGACGACTCTTTCTTTGGGCTGGTAGAGTGTGATATTTCTGTTCCCAAAGACTTGAAACAATTTTCCCCTGAAATTACGCCTTTATTAAAAAATACTGATGTGAGTAGAGACGATATAGGTCCCTTAATGAATCAACACACTGGAGAACACAAACTGCTGACATGTCCCCCACGAACTTTAGTGGGGAGCTACGTTTGTAAGAAGATTTATTTGGCGACACAGTTAATAAAGTGCTATTTGACCCTTGGGCTCACAATGAACAATATTTATCGAATCATAGAGTATCACCCAGTAGCCTGTTTTGACAAATTTGGGGCGACTGTTTCTAACGATAGACGACATGCAGATAGCGACCCTTCCTACAGTATTAATGACGAGAATATGAAACTGTTAGAAAACTCTGCTTACGGCAAGATGTTGACGAATAAAGTGAAACATTCTGACATGTCCAAGTAACGACCCCTCCAAACTAATCAACGACTCTCCTCTTCCCAAAAAAAAAAAAAAAAAAGATGACGCAACTTTCTGACAGTAGAACTGATGAAAAATGAAACTTTATGGGATCTTCCTCTGCAGATAGGCTTTTTCGTTTACCAATATGCCGTTCAGTTTATGAGTACAATTTCTACGGAGATCCCTGAGGATCGTCAACGGAACTACGGAGGTC